AGTTCTCATACAGGCTAAGGGTAATAGGCTTCTCAGTTCTAGTAGTGTTAGAACTGTTGGTAACCCAGGAAATATGGATTCCTTAGCCCTTGGCAGCAGCTGGGGTTGCAGCTTTTAGGTAGGCCTAAAGATTTTAGGTAGGTATTAAGATTCCTCAGCCCTTAACATTAGCAGGTGTGTTACACCTCCAAGGAGTGAGGCATCTGAGACCTGTGATCCTAACAGCTTGATGCCTTCTGGAACTGTCCAATGTGTGGAGTATCTAAGAGATGCCTTCTGGAATTGTTCCAGTGACTAGGGCCTACAGTTCCTGTTCTTGGGCTCTTAACAGCCCTCTATCCTTCTCCAGCCTGTGCTTTCTCCAGTTCTGCCATTCCCCCTCTTCCTGCTCTGACCAGTTTTGTTGAAATGTTCTCTTGAGATGTCTCTTTTCAGCTCCCAAGCACCTGACCACTTTGCCACCCTTGCACTCAGCCTACCAACAATTCAGTTCTGTTTCTTCCTCAGCTAGAAAGCAGTCAGTTGGCTGCTTCGCTGCTCTTGTAGTTCATCTTGCTCCCTGCTCAGCTGTTCCTGTCACTGCCTTTCTCTTGTCTCTAATTCGTCCTTCATGTGACAAACTTGGCCCACACTAGTAAATATAGGCAAGAAAAGACCACTCAAGAGAAGCCTATTATTGGGGATAATGTTTGAGATAGCACACAACAGTGTATCCCACTGATTTACCAGTGAGCCAAACAGCCTGCTTATACAGCCAGCCAACCCATACATGCAAATGAAGGTTTGTATTTACACCAATTACAGCACTATCTCTTTATCACCATTCATAGCAGTGCCTCTGCTAGGCTACCAGGGGAAGTGCTTCCACTCTGACCTTGGCAGAAATAGCTGCACAGTCATCTAGAGTTCACCCAGGCTTGTGAGAGAATAAAGTCCAATAAAAAAATGTTCAAAACAGTCCTGGCCAAGGCTTCCTCTTCACAACACAGAGCAATCAGCTATGATTGTTGTGTCATGTTCCCAAGATGTCCATGGAGTGTTCAGAACAGCCAGTGCTGGCATAACATAGTCCACTTGACTGCTTGATAGACAGTGTATTTTGTTTAAGGTAGCCAGGGCAGCAAGGGAGCATCCCAAAATTACCAACTGGGGAGTCAAATTGCTCGATCCCCCAGTGAATTTGCTTATCTATAGGAAAATGAATATCAGAAGGAACAGTTGCAATAAGAACTTAAAGAACCTATCATTATCACTGATAGTGATTTTAGCAGTGCTTTAGCAATGTTTAATGCCTGCCTAGTACCCCATGGAGACTGGTGTGAAAGATAATACATGAAATCCAATCATTTTTCTGTATATGAATTAATAACTGGTTAAAAGTATAAATAGAAAAAGTAAAAGAAAAAATGAAATCATCTAGAAGTAAATTTAGCAAGACTTAAGGCAGATGCAAATATATATGTAAGATGATCTTAAGACTGGATAAGTAAAGAACTGTACTATCTTTTTAAATGAGAAATCTTAAAAAGTTAACAATCCTTTCTAAATGTGTTTTTTTAATAAAATTCCAATCCGAATTCAATTTGGGGAGTGAAGGTATTACTAGGTCAGTCAACAGCATTTGAAAGTCCACATAAATATATGAATGTAAGAAAATTGTCAAAGTTGACAGAATAGCAGTGTGGGGATGTGCACAGGCAAGTATCAGAGTATAGCATCATGGAACAGAGTAGAATGAATACATTGATGAGGGCATCATAAGAGAACTTAGTGTATGCTTAAAGTGGCAAGTCTTCCCAATAAGGAAAAGATACATTCTGAAGTAATGTTGAGGCGGTTATCTGTTCATCAGGTGATAAATGGGTTTAGATTAATTCCATTTGAAGTAAAGACCTAATGTTAAAAATGTAAATATAAAGGCATTAGTTGAAAATACAGGTATAGAGCCAGGCATGGTGGTACACACCTTTAGTCAGAAGGCAGAAGCAGGTGGATCTCTGTGAGTTCAAGGCCATCCTGGTCTACATAGCGAGTTCCAGGCCAGCTGGAGCTACAGGGAGACCCTGTCTGAAAAAGACAAAAAAAAAAAGCAGGTATAACATCAGATTAGGGGGCGTTCTCTTCCCTAATTCATAAAGGTAAAATTGGCATATTTGTCTTTTTAAAATGTTAAAGATCTGTATAAAAAGACATCCTAAAAAAGCCATAAAGACTGTGTGCTGGATAGCTTTAGTGTCAACTTGACACACCTGGGTTGAAGGAGCCTTGATTGGGGAATTTCCTCTATTGAACTGGTCTGTGGCCATGTCTGAGGGACATCTTGATGAATGATGTGGGAGGGCCCAGCCCACTGTGGGTGGTGCCACCCCTGGGCAGGTGGGCCTGTGTTGCATAAGAAAGCAGGCTGA